AGACTGGAGAGATTGATCACTGAGTGAGGCCGAGGGGCTATTGTGAGTGATATTTATGGGATCGGGATGCACACCGCAGTAGGCTTTATTGATTCGAGCCAGGATTTGGCTTACTATAGCGCTTGGGCTAGATCGGCCCCTTCGGAGTTTGCACATCCACAGTGGGCGCAATTGCTAACAATTATTTGCATTTGGGCTGGATCTACCCTGGTTCATTTGCATTGGGCTAGATCTGCCCTAGTTTAATTACATTTTTGGTTCATTTGCATTGGGCTGGATCTGCCTTGGTTTATTTGCATCTTGGGCTGGATCTGCCCTAGGTTTGTTTGCATTTGGGCTGGATCTGTCCTGTATAGTACTGAGTGACTAAGTGTGCTGAGTATTGAGCATGATGAGTGAGAATACGAGACAGTGAGATTGAGTACTCTGAGAGTGTGAGTACATGAGTTCATCATTGAGATGCATTGAATTTGACATGCGTTCTTGAGATACAGGCATAGAGATGCATTTCCTCATGCTACCCGATTTTGGTGACATTCATGATTTTACCTGTATATTGACATGTAGGCATAGAGATGTATTTTTCTCATGTTATCTGAAAATAAAACATCTTATTTATTATTGAAAGGATTTTGGGAAAATCACGGTTTTCAAACTTATTCATATATTTTTGAGGTTTTCGGTGAAAGATCTGGGATCTACTATTATACTTGAAAAGCATGCCTATTTTCCATAACTGTGAATCAGTTGAGTTATTTCTTGTACCATCTTTATTATATTGTTATGAACTGTTGCTGGTTATTGGAGTTGGACTCTAACCCTTGTCCCAACTAGTCACTACTTTCAACCTAAGGTTAGGTTTGTTACTTATTGAGTACATGGGGTCGGTGCATGCAGATGTTAGATGTTGATGTAGCTGTGTACGGCGGGAGCTAGATCTGAAGATGTACTTGCGTTCCAGTCATAGCTGCCTCTTGATCCTGGTAGCTTTAGTATTTCAGATCTGTTCATGTATATTTCAAACAGATGGTGTATTTTATTTCAAACCAACTTTGTAAACTCTATATCTTAAAAGCTTATGATTTTTACTACCAGTATTTGGGGAGTTGTATAAAATTCAGTTATTACATCTCTGATTCACATCAGTATTATTATATTGTATTTTATAGCTAATTGGCTTACCTAGCGGGTTGGGTTAGGTGCCATCATGACGGTTTGGATTTTGGGTCGTGACATTTGGATAATTCTTGTGTGGTTGGACTGGATATCCAATGGGTGTTCGGTTTTTATAATTTTGATCGGGTTCCGAGACGCGGGTCCAGGTCGGCCTTTTGGGACGATTTTTCCAATTCTTGCTAAAATCATAATTTCATTATTTAGAATAGTTTCCTACAGTTATATTTATAGTATAAAATTACTTTTGGCTAGATTTGAGCCGTTTGGAGTCGAAACACCGAGGGAAAGGCTTTCTAATTGATTGATTGAGCATAGTTTGAGGTAAGTGACTTGTCTAACCTTGTGTGAGGGAAATTTTTCTTAGGATTTGGTACTGTTGCAATATGTGAAAGCGGTGTATGCGAGGTGACGAATGCGTACTCAGGCTAAATATTGAAAATCTAATTTTTGCTAAGTAATTTCCTTTTATTTCCTTAATTGAGTTACTCTAGCATGTGTAGTCATCATGTTTAGCCTAATTTCAGTTGTCTACGTATATTATCTCTTATTTGCAATTTGTACAACATGCTTAGTTAAATTGATTACTTCCTTGATTATGTATTCATTATTCAACTGTGGAATTCTTTGCCTGAAATATCATTGTTTCATTTGTTACGTTTTGGTTTTCATGATTATTGTTGAGGTGATTTGTTTGGTTGTGGCGATTTGTTTGGTTTTGGCGCGAGGTTTCTCCCGTGCAGATTGTTATTGTGGCACGAGGTTTCTATCGTGCGAATTATTATTGTGGCACGAGGTTTCTGCCATGTGGATTGTTATTGTGGCACGAGATTTCTATCGTGCGGATTGTTATTGTGGCACGAGATTTCTGTCGTGTGGTTGTTATTATACGAAGAGATTGTGAGATATTTACTTTTGGGACTACGAGACGGTACCCCGAGAGTTCCCCTGTTGATTTCCTCTACTTACTGTATTGTTTGTTGTTGTTGTTCCTTAACTTGTAAGATTCTTGCTTCCTTACGTGTTGTATATGTCTTCTTGATTCTGTGTTGCTACCTTTCGTAAATTTCTATTGTTACACTTCCCTGTCACTTTATTATATCATTATATCTTCTACCTTATTTCTTATTAGTCCTAGTAGGGCCTCACCTGACCTCATCACTACTCTACTGAGGTTAGGCTTGGCACTTACTGGGTACTGTTGTGGTGTACTCATACTACGCTTTTGCATATTGTTTTGTACAGATCCAGGTGCATCATATCAGCCTCGATATTAGAGTGTTGTGCTGCTGCTTGGAGACTTCAAGGTACACCTGCCCGCGTCCGCGGACCTCGGAGTCCCCCTTTGTCTCGCCGTTTCCTAGCTTCTTTACGTTTTGATAGAGAGTGATGTTTAGGATATATGCAACATTGTATCTAGAGCTTGTGACTTTTATCTACCAGGTTTTGGGAATTATATATACTTTGAGTTACAGTTTTTACTTTATACAGTTGCTGACGTTTTGAGCTTTTAGATTATTATTTCAATTATTCCGTATGCTTATTAGACTTACCTAGTTTTAGAGATTAGGTGCCGTCACGATATCCTACGGAAGAAAATTGGGGTCGTGACAACAAGAGAAATAAGCCTTATCTTAATTTTCCACCCCCTTCTTCAACCTTTTTTCTAATATATAGAATAGCCTTGGAAGCCGTTGGTCGTTGTCTTGCCAGCTTGCCGACACAGGCCTCTTTTTGTCATTTCATGTTTAGCTTTTATAATTTGTTGATCATTTAAAGTGGCTCTGAAATTTGATTGGTTCAAATAAGTTGATTATGGTGCTAACTTTATTAATTTTTGTTGTACAGACCTTTTAGCCCTTTAAGGGACCGTGTATGCTTTCAAGTGGGTCCATCTCCCCTTACAATTGCGGCTGAAAAATCCATTTCCATGCCTGGCATATAAACTTGCTCATTTTTATTTATGCTTGTGAGGAGACAAATGTTTGGTTTTCAACTCATTATTTATTAGAGAAAAATTTAAAGTGGTTGAAGCCTTTATTAGCCTTCATTCTTGTTCTGCTTATATTTCTCTGTATAAAATGGTGTATCAGACAAATAAAAAGCATATTTTTAAATTTTATATATTCATAACTACTTCTAAACTCTAAAGCTCATAGCTGCTACTATCAAACTGTTTAGAAATTCTCAAGAACTAATTTTGTATATCATAAGCTAATAATAGATATTATGGTAATTTAATTTTATAAATTTTCTCTAAATTAATTTGGTAGATCACATACTAAAATTATTTTATGCAGTGATTCATTTTTCTACTTGCAATTGTAATGCACAAAAAATTATACTAGATGTTAAATTTATTTCAACAGAGACTTTTTATTAAAAATAAATCAAATTATTTTACAAGAAAAGATTTATCAAATCATCTTATAATACCTTTTACTATGGTTACCTTTGGTAATTTTAGTTCTAAAAGCTCTTGATAGGCGACTGTATCAAATACTACTAACAATATGTGCACAATGTTTTATGAAATAGTTTGGTAAATTTAAGTTGAAGAAAAATATTTTGCAAAAGACATATTTTATTTTTGGTTCATATTTTAGTTTAATTGTCTATTATAAAGTTAGATTTCATTTGAAGTTCTTTTTATTTATTCAAAGTTTTCTCATAAAGTTTCCAAATAAATCTGTAACTGAGCTCTGAAGAATACATAAGGTTTTTAAAGTTTTGTTTACTTCGCAATTACTAACCTGTATTAACTAAGAGTGTACTTTCTAAATAATCTAAATGAAAATGAGATGAATGGAGCACACAAAAAGGTATTAAAGGTTCATAGTTTGTAACTTTGCTCAGGTAAGCAAGATAAAGCTAACCGGAAAAAATAACTTTTTAAAATACATAGAAATGAGAGTGAATCTTCCAAATATCTAAGGTTGAAACTTTTATAACATCTATCAAACAACAAATTGAAATAACAAAATTTATTAAAACATCGTAATTAAATTAGGTATCTAAAAGAAAGAGAGCTAGAACCAAGAATGAGCACACAAAATTCACATTATTAATTCAAGCATTTTACTTCTTTTGAGAATTTTTAAAAAAAAAAAAAAAACTAGAATTGGTTGCCTTTGAGAGACATGTTTATTTCCTCACTTTCATGTATCTTATCTTTCTTTATCTTATCTTAATGTTCTAAAACGTTGACAATAGAAATACATATATGTTCCTATGATTATTTTTATTCCTCTAGGAGTAAAAAGATAAAACAATTAATTAGGTTAATTGAATTTAAAATACAACAGTAAATTATAACAACGAACAAATTAACAAGTGGAAAACAAACTTAGTCAAAGTTTAGATTGTTGGGCCGTGCTTACGCACGGTCAAAGTATTAGTCTTTTTATATATATCCTATGCAAAGCGACTTTTGAACTTGCAAATTGAAGGACACGACTGTTAGCACTAAGAACGACAGTTTAGAGCGTTTTAAAAAATATATATAAAAAAGACAAAATGAAACTTTGAAAAGCTAGTGACTTTTAAATGGCAGTTATTAGCCACTAATAAAGGGGAAAATGCAAAAAATATAAAAAATATAAAAATAAAAAATAAATAAATAAATATATATATATATAGTTTAAAAGAAATTAAGTAGAGAAAAATTTACTTCATAGTCACTTTTCCTGCAGCTTGGAATTGAAGGAATTTACTGTAAAGCGCTTCTTAATATATTTGATCAATACAACAACAACTACGTATCAATTTCAAACAAGGTGAAGTCGGCTATATAAATCATCATTGACCATGTTATTCCGTTTAAACTCTCATACCAATATTATGCAATAGAATTGATTAGTAACATGGAAAAATAACTCTCAAAGAGCAACTGAATCACCCATGTTCAAAATAGTACTCCTTACACTGCTCCAATACTAGTTATCCTTAACTCTATTTAGTGTACATTCCTTCAAAAACAAGAAGCTCACATTCAACAAAAATATTGAACATCATCACTTGACAAATAATTAAAGAGTTCGAAGCCTTGGATCGATGCCCTCCTAAAGTCGACACCAGAGTGGTTCAGATACCAGTTATAGCATGTCTTGTACAAGAACTAAATTCTTTTACCTGTTCTTACTTACACTCTACAACATAGTGAAGCGGTTTCAATGCTTGGAGTACTGCTGTAGGACATCAAAGTAGTTCGGGAAAGTTTTCCTCGTGCACCCGGGGTCGTTGATGGTGACTGGAACATCTGCACAAGCAGCAAGAGAAAAAGCCATGGCCATTCTGTGATCGTCGTATGTATCAATTTCGGTCACATTTAAGTTTTCAGGCGGGGTGATTATGCAGTAGTCTGGTCCTTCTTCAACAGTTGCTCCCAACTGTAGTATTCATGCAAAAAGGAAAGAATAAGGAAAGAAAGAACAACGAACAACTTCATCATCATTACACTAAGGCTTGGGAGATGCAAATGTGTCCAAAACCAATAACGACTTTACCTTCCTAAGTTCTGTGCATATGGCGATCATGCGCTCAGTTTCCTTGACTCTCCAGCTAGCAACTGATAACAGAAAAGAGGAATTTTTAAATTAGCACAATAAAGAAAGAACAAAAGAACAGGAAAAAAGAGAAAGAANAGAGAGAGAGAGAGAGAGAGAGAGAGAGAGAGAGAGAGAGAGAATATTTATACCGTTAAGGAGAATATAGTTCATGCATTTTCCATAAGCGCATTCATGGTTATCAGCCGCAATGGAAGCAAAAGACTGGAAACATTCCATAGAGGGGCAATCGCCTAATAGAGCGCACTTTGCCATGCATGAAGGGATGGTGAGAATACATTGAGTCGCATAAACAATGCCTCCTGTCCTTACTAGGCAATCCCACACAGATTCAGAAGACACGGGTGGTCCTGAAAATAGAAGGATTGCAAGCACAAAAAGTAATTTAACGCCTAACTTTCCCTCCATATTGAATCTTCCTATTTTATTAATGTTAGACAGATTTATTGGTGTGAAAATAGGTAGAAGATTCATGAATACTTATAGTCGCACATGCATAAGAATTAGCAGATAGTTTAGTCTTTAGCTTTCATTGTTTTGTCTTTTATTTCAGAAAAATCAACGCATTTTAATAAAGAGAAGAAATGTGAACCACCATGTGGGCCGTGTGTGACACCGCAGGAATAATTTTGTCATAATTATTTCTTCAATTTTAGGCCATTAAAATAGACTAGTTAGGATTTTTGTAGAGTATCTTGATCTTAAAAGTGTCATAATACTTTGTTAGAGCATTGAATACACCATTATTTGAAGCTTTTGTGAACAAGATTCATTAACTTTCTTTATTGTAAGACTTTTCTTCATTGTATGACTTTAATGCTTAGTGTTATTGTTCTAGTTGTCATAAATGAAACGTGAGAACACAAATAAATGTGATTTGTGCCTTCTGATACAAATGTTGTCTGTCGTTATTTCTTTGTCACCAAACCCACTGTCAACTTTTATATTATTTCTCTTTCTTGGTGCATGCTGTTAGTTTCATGTCTCTAAGTTGTGATGTTTTTTTTCCATCATGGATGACTGGACAAATAGTTTCCCACGCTATTAAGTTCAACTATATTGAAACTTTTTGAATTTCAACTATATGTGCTTAGGCTATATCAGAGTTGCTTAGGAAAATGAGTGAGGCTGAAAGGGGTTAGGTGTTTCCGCAGAAGTGGACGGGTGAGTGCAGAAGCGCGTCCGTAGGTGCGGATTTTGGTGCGCATGTGCGGAGTCTGGGAGCTTAAATGAGCTCCGTAGATGCGAAGATTTCACCGTAGGTGCGGTCCCGCAAAAGCGAAATTTTTGCCGCAGGTGTGAAAGCACTAGGCAGTGTTTAAATCCGAAAGGTTTCGTGATCTCTCTCATTTTTGGACTTTTTAAACTCGGTCTAAGGCGATTTTTAGAGGATTTTCGAGGGGTTTCTTGAGGTAAGTCACTTATTATTAAATTTATTCAATAATTATGCTTCCCCATTAATTTTTCCCACTTAGATTATGCAGTTTTGAGGTGTAATTTTCGGAGTTGAGGCTAGGGATTTGAAGAGTTTAAATTGGAAATTTGGGGGTCGATTTGGTGTTAGATTTTGGTAAATATGGTATGGTTGGACTCGTGGTTGAATGGGCTTTCGAATTTTATAACTTTTATCGGATTTCGAAACGTGGGCCCGGAGGACGGCTTTAGAATGGCTTTTGACTTTTGATTAAGAACATGGTATTTTCTTATGGAATTGATTCCTTTAGCTCGTATTGATTGTATCAAATTTTTTATGGCTAGATTCAAGGTGCTCGGAGGCCGATTCGCGAGGAAAGGGCTTGCTAGCGGGGTGATTCGAGTTGCTTGAGGTAAGTATCGTATTTATACTCGGTTGAGGCACTAGTTGCCTGAATTGTTGTGATAGCCACGTGCTTCTGGGTGCGCACATGTGCGGGAATGATCCCATGTGCGGGCTCCGAAGTTGTGTATTCATGTTTGGGTTGTGCTCGGGCTCCTATAAGCCCAGAAATGACTGTTACGCTTCGAGCTTTGATATCTAACATGTGGTAACAATTTATGTGATCTAAGTGAGCCATGATGAGTCTACTTAGAGGTTTAATCCTTGAACGAACTTGATAAATGCTTTTCATTGATGAAATTTCCGGATTGAGCTACGATAACATATTTTGCACATGCCTACACTTTAGCATATTATTTACACCAATCCAGGGATAGGAGAATCTTATTTTATTCATTATATACATGTACACTTGCTTTATTGCTTCTGTATGATATTTTGGACTTCTGCAGCTATGCTGAGCGGATTGTGTTATTGGCACGTGAGTTATCCGTAAAGTACGTGAGTTGTCCGTATGGATCCACATATTGATATTATTGATATGTGAGTTATCCGTGCAGCACGTGAGTTATCCATGTGGATCCATATATTGATATTATTAGCACGTGAGTTATCCGTGTTCCACGTAAGTTGTCCGTGCAGACTCTATTGTTAGCACGTGAGTTGTCCGTGTAGCACGTAAATTATCCGTGCAGCACGTGAGTTGTCCGTGCAGTGTGTGAAACTTGTATTTTTCTTGATCGTTTATCTAATTTACTTTTTTTCTTTCCCCTACATGCCATAATACTGTTGAGTAGGGTAGTTAAGAACTAGTGCACATGCACACACAGATATTCGTATCACGAAGCTTATGAGCTCGCTTTAAATCTTATACTATGTTAATCAAAAAGGATAGAATTGTACCGATTTAACTAGTGACCTCAACAAATTAATCTTCCCTTACCTTGCCTTGTTTATTTGCGATACTTATTGAGTTGGTTGTACTCACACTACACTCTGCACCTCGTGTACAGATTCAGGCATTTCCGAGCACGATGGTTATTGATCGTGGAGTCTACCTATTCGGAGATCATAGAGGTAGTTGCTTGGCGTCCGCAGACCTTGATCCTCCTTTCCCTATCTTTCGGTTTTATATAATTAGTCTTACTTTTCAGACAGTGTACCAGACTATGTGGTTATATATAGATACTCATGTACTCGGTGACACCCAGGTTTTGGGAATTTTTCACATTTAGTTTTGATCTTATCCAGTTTATTAGAGTTTAAATTATTAAACTTGTTTTAGCTCATCTTAAATTTAAAGTTGCTGGAAATAATTGAGTTGTCGGCTTGCCTAGTTCCATGTTAGGCGCCGTCACGACAGGTTAGATTTTGGATCGTGACAAGTTGGTATCAGAGCCTAGGTTACATAGGTCTCACGAGTCATAAGCAGGTTTAGTAGAGTCTTGCGGATTGGTACGGAGACGTCTGTACTTATCTTCGAGAGGTTGTCGAACCCTTAGGAAAACTTCACATTCTTGTATTCTTGTCGTGCAGACTTGTTGGTTCTAGTAACTAAACTTCTGTTATTCTATTCTCCTGCAGATGGTGAGGAAATATGTTACCGGTCACGACGGACGGCCGCCAGTACCACAGGCTAGAGCCTCGAGAGGTCGGGGTCGTGGTAGGGGCCGTGGTAGAGGCAGAGGTGCAGCTCATACAGCAGCTAGAGCAGAACCTGCAGATCCACCAGTTGATCCAGTTCAGGAACATGTACCAGATACAGTTGAGCCAATGGGGCCAGCTCAGACATCAGTTGTGCCCATTGTTATTCCAGGCCTTTAAAAGGCTTTGGCTCAGATTTTGGCTGTGTGCACCATCCTTGCTCAGGCGATTTCTGTTCCGGCCGCGGCAGCCACTTCTCAGGTCGGGGGAGGTACTTAGACTCCCGCCGCCCGTACACCAGAGCAGGTAATGCAAGGACTTCAGACACCGGGGGTACTACCAGCCCAGCCTGTTGTAGTTGCTTAGGCCCAGGTGGGTCCCGTTATGACTGATGGCGAGCAGAAGAGACTATAGAGGTTTGGGAGACTCGAGCCTCCATCATTCAGTGGGGCTGAGTCTCAAGATGCCCGGGACATTTTGGATAGGTGCTGGCGGATTCTTTGCACGACAGGTATTCTGGAGACCAGTGGGGTCTCATTCACTACTTTCCAGTTCATTGGGGCTGCCTTCAAATGGTGGGAGGCTTATGAGAGGCGCACTCTGGTTGGTGCAGCACCACTTACATAGTATGAGTTCTCCATTCTCTTCTTGGAAAAATTCATGCCACAGTCTCGAAAGGAGGAGCTGCGCAGACAGTTTGAGCAGTTACGTTAGGATGGCATGTTTGTGACCTAGTATGAGATGAGGTTTTCATAGTTGGCCCGTCACACAGTTTGGTTGGTCCCCACTGAGAGGGACATGATTAGGAGGTTCATTTATCGCCTCACCTATCAGTTGCAGTTGCTTATGACTCGGGAGAAGGTATCCGGTGCTACATTTGACGAGGTGGTTGATATTGCTCGGCAGATTGAGATGGTCTGTAGTCAGGAGCATGAGGAGAGGGAGGCCAATAGGCCTCGTAGTTCGGGTGGTTCCAGTGGTGTTTCTTCTGGGGGACAGTCCTACCACAGCAGGGGTCGTCCTTATAGGCCCACTCAGACGACTCGTCCAGCTCATCGTAGTGCATCAGTTAGCCACGGTTCTTATAGTGCTCGCTCAAACCAGTCTTCATTCAGTGCACTACCAGCGTAGAGTTCTCACCATGCCTCGTCTGCTCAAGTTTCTACAGGTAGTTCCTTGGGTTATCAGGAGGAGCAGCTCCATCAGAGGAGGGGTTGTTTCGAGTGCAAGGACTTGGGTCATATCAAGAGAGATTGCCCTAGATTGTTGAGTGGGGCTCCACAACAGAGTTCTCAGCCGATGGTACCAGCACCAGCAGTTACACCACCCACCCAGTCAGCTCGGGGAGGGGCTCAAGAAACTAGGGGTCACCCAAGAGGGGGAGGCCGATCAGGTGGCGGTCAGGCCCGATTCTATATTATTCTTGCCAGGCCAAATGCAGTGATCACAGGTATTGTCTCAGTGTTCCACAAAGATCCTTCCACATTATTTGACCCTGATTCTACTTATTCCTACGTGTCCTCCTATTTTATTTGTTATTTGGATATGCCCCGTGAGTCCTTAGTTTCACATATTCATGTATCTATGCCGACGCCGATACTATTGTT